TAATTTTACATATGTACATACATTTTTGTTTGTTTTAATTATCCACTTTGTGATTTTATCTGTGAAAAGCGCTTTATAAATAAACTTTACTTACTTACTAATATCAATAATTTTACAAACATTGAGATGTTCATTCCATGACAATTTACAAACATCAGTTACACACGTACAAAGACATAATATATTTCCTATTCAGACAACAGTTCAAAAATGTTTTGATATTCGTACACACTGTTGAGTTGTGGTTGACAGATATGTGTTTACCCTAGCTATTATTCCAATCGTTCGATATTTTCCACACCGTGCGCATTTGAATTATTAATCTCGCTAGACGTATCATCAGTCGTCATGATGGCTTTTCGTTGTACGATTATCATCAATAATCCTGTACAACGGTTTGAGACAGTCTGTCTGTCTGTCACGGTGTGGGTTTTGTGTTTTGTTCCTTGTTTTTGTCTGTCATGTGTTTCCCTGTCTTTTCATGTTCAGCTGTTCCCTGTTTTGTTGATTAGTCTCCCCATGTGTTTCTGATTAGCCACGCCCCCTTGTTATCTTGTTTAGCTTGTTTGCCTGTGTATTTATACCCTTGTTCTTCAGTTGGTGTTTGTCGGTCGTTGTTTGATGTGAGATGTTCTCAGTTCCTTGTTCTGTGTCCTGTGTGCCTTGTTCAGAGTTTTCCCTGGATTACTTGTCTTTAGTGATGGCGAGATGAAGCTTCATAAAGCATTGAAGCGTTTCATCCAATTGGTTCACTCATGTGCCGAAGCTTCATGGTGCTTCATTTGCTCTATTGTGCCATCAAGTGGACAATAAATGTAAAACGTGCAGTGTGATTATAATGACACTATGGCTTTGGTGTCTGAAGCATTGAATGAAGAAAAAGAAGCTTGAATAGATCGCTAACAAACTCGCAAAGTCCCAAGTCCACAAAATGTGAGGGGGAATCCATTGCATTTTGCTGGCCCTTATATTTCAAATAGACCGCCAAACCGCGAACCACTTCCTGAAGCAGTCACGTGGCACAGGCGGCTCGCGAGGCTTCAAACGTCACCACATACGTCACCGACACAAGCCTCGATACGCGCTTCACAGAAATCATCCCGGATTACTCGACACACGCTTCGAAGCCTCGATACGGGAGGACACATCACTACTTGTCTGTTAGATGCTTAAAGTGCTTGCGATTGGATTCACTCTCTGCTTCATCCTTGCTGCATCGTAACACTGTCAGGGCGGATGTTTAATGTTTGTAGTATGTAGGTGGTGCTACATGAACGCCTCTCCTAGTGGGCGTGGCCCATTCAGGGTTGAACAATCTCACTTTGATATTCTTGTATCTCTCAAAAGCATCGACCCATGAAAAGAGTTGATAGATTTTAGAAAAAATATCTTCCAATAACGGTAAATCCTTCCATTGGAACATGAATTTCAAATCGTAATATCTGAAATGTTCGTCCTCGGAAATCGGCCACGAATGTTCCGGCGCATTTCGGCCGAAATCACTACAAAGGATGTAAACGTAGTCATCTGCGTGCTTGTTAACATGATCCGCCAGAAGACTGTACCTAGTCTCCATGCTTAATCCAGACCACTTTGCAATGAAAAGCGGTTCACCATCTTTCAAATCTCTCCACACACATGTATAAAATAAAATCCAATCCCTTTCCGTAAAAACCAGATCGGGATCCTCTGTTGTATTCGATGTGAACGGTTCATCATTATCCATATTAAAAAGTCTGACTTCACGTAAATCCTTGTCAAAATCATATGTACACGCACGTTCTCCGGACAAGTCAAACGTATATTTTACGTGATCCGTCGGCTCGTGGAGAAATTGCGTTAAACAGGGTCCATATTTTTTCCTCGGCGCTAAAGTCAAATTCATCATAGCGCCATCAATGCTTCTTTCAGGAGTCTTGGGAGGTACAGAGGCCATTTCTAGTTGAATAAAGGCAAGGCAAGGCAAGTTTATTTATATAGCACATTTCATACACAATGGCAATTCAAAGTGCTTTACATAGAAGAAATTAAAATAATCAAAACAAATAAGAATAATTAAAACAGTATCTAAAGATCACGAGTATCTTGTCTCGTTTTTGACCTCCTTTTTAAACCGACCTCCGTACCCTGCCACCCTATGGGAGGGTTTGCGTGCGTGCGTGCGTGCGTGACGCGTGGGAACTATTTGTCGTTTTCTCCCACGCCTCAACACCTGTTGTGGGAGGGGTCGAGGTGTGGGAGTGGTCTAGGGGTGGAGCCTACGTCTGGCTACTGTGCAGACCTCAGAGATGCCATTCTAACTTTTTGGATGTAAGAGTGCTGACGTGTTTCGTTGAGCTCCCAGGAAATTACATTTGCACAGCTTTGAACTGGATTACTTTTGGAATTAAAATCTCTAAAGCTTTGGAGGTGCTGGTTCTTTTTCAGCAAACGGATTTGTAAAAACATAAGGCTATTTTATTTTTGATACTGTGATTTTTAACATGCTGTAGTTTTAATATCATGACGTGTTTTATGTAAAATATAACACCTTCACGAATAATGTGTGAAAGTTAAATGTATCTTTTTGTAATGAAAAAACTCTTAACTTGTTTTACTTTTCTGTAAATGACTGAACGTTGATCTTTTAACGTTTTAACATTTTTAAAATGTTTTTTTTTTAGATGTTTTAATACTAAAACATTTTGATAACTTTAAGAAAACTTTTTCATTAATGTTTTAACATTTTACAAATGTGTAAAAACACTAAGACGTGTATTTTAAACTTTATACAATATTTTTATACACCTTTAAACACTTGAAAGTACAGCTTTTCTTCAAATATATGTTAGAAAATAGAATTATTCGCTTGATATAATTTTAATACATGTTGTTTTAGATGTTTTAATACTAGAACATTTTAGCAATTCATACAAAATAATGTGTAAAGGTAAAGACGTGTACTGTGTCTTAATGATATAAACGGACTTAATGGTTTTAAGACCTACGTGTTATGTGAAAAGTATGAGTTTTTTAAATGTATGATGAAAAATAGAACTATTTGTTTGACGTTTTAATTTAGAAAATGCAATTTTACAGTTTACAAATGTGTGAAAACACTAAAGATGTGTGTATTTTAACTTTATACAACGTTTTAATATCTTTAAACACTATGTTATTAACTTTTCTTAAAATGTAAACGAAAACCCTTTTTTAATAAAAAACATGATCTCATCTCTGTTTTCTGTCATCCTTCTTAAAAAAGCTTGAAAATATATTGTGTTTGAATGTTTCTCCACACTATTTTGTACATTTACACATTGAACAAACAATAACACCCATGATACACCTATGTTACCTTTTTAGAAATACTTGAACATAAGGATTTTCCCACGGTCACATGACCTCTCCAAAAGTGAGGGTGGTGGGGGTGGAAAGAGGAGGGGAGACCGTGGGAAAATTCCCACGGCCCAGGTGGTCAGACCGGAAGTGGGTGGGAGGGGTAGAAAGGGGCGGGGCTAGGCGTGGGATCCATTTTATTGGGGGCAATAAAACTGTCAGTTTGATGGATGCCGCCCTATACTCTCTCTGCCGGTGAAGCTGGCGGGCGAACCGGCGAGCTTTCACAAGCTGGAGAAGGCTCGGGGACCCGCTGAGTATGGCGCTTTTATGGCGCGGCACTGTAGCGGGTGGAAGTGCAGTCTCGCTGAAGTATGCCAGGCGAGTCCTCAGAGTCACCATAGGCAATAGTTCGCAGTGAGGGCAGCCGCCGTCGGCGAGCGCGAGACCTGCACGATCCTCTCCCAGGCAGGAAACGCATATCACATGGCGGTCCCCGTCGCTGAGTGGGGCTCGGCACGAGCCACAGGAGGATGGCATCTTTAAAAGACGCGGCTCTTTTAGATGGTAGACGTGTGAGTCGCGGGGCGAACACACACACACACACACAGAGCAGAGTAAAGGATATATAGTACGCCAGATAGCGTAGCAGGAACGGCGGCTGAAGGCGGCGAGGTGAAGGCCAGCGACTTCAGTTGCAGAGGCTCGTCCCGCAAAAAGCAGTTTGCGGTGCGGTGCGGCTTCTCACTCTGGATCCAGCGGTGCGAACGCTTCGCTTAAGAGATGAAAATCAGATTATATCAGCCCATCGAGACGTATTTATAAGGCTAGGCCACGCCTGCTTCGGTGGGAGCGTGACGCAATGGGCGCGAAGCGCCCTCATTGGACTGTCACTGAATGGCCTCTCTCGATAGGCTGCTGCAATTGCCACAGGCCAGCCAATAGGCACGCTAAGCCGCCTTGCCTATGTCTGCTTGCTGTTGCAATGCGTTTTGCATTAATACAAAATTAAGGATAATTTTTTGGCTTCAATATCTCGAGGAAAAGAGGTTTTCCCCTAGCGTAAGATATTACGCAGTACGAGAGAACCTCTCGTAAGAGAACAGCTGGTCTACTCACAGTCAACCCCGCAAGACCTATTTATATTCTGACCATGATGGCAGTAACCAACACTATATCAGCACTAACCAGCACTAGCCAACATAAACCAGCCTGGTCCGGCATGGAATTCATGCTAGTTTATGCTGGATTTTTTAGCAGGGAAAAACAGTCTCATGCTGATGTTACACAGGACTGTTTTTTTTTTTTTTTTTGTCAGGAAAACTCTGGTGAGAGTTTGCAATTAAAAGTCAGTTTGTCAGATGCTTTCTTGCAGATGGGGCTTTGTTGTTTCAAGTCTGAAGATAACAGTGTCTCAGATCTCTATCTTACCATGAACTCATCAAAAATTATTGTGTAATTGTCTTTAATTATATGACTCAGAGGAGGTGCAATTTGGCCTCATGTTGTTTTTTCTGGCCCTTGTTTTCCTACTGCTCTCTTGGGACAGTGGTCAAAACAAATACCCCTTCTTGGCTTGCACTGACGCACACGGGTACAGAAAGACTGCCAGAGAAGTAACACCAAACTGTGCCCAATGTCTGTACATGTCCTATTATGGCTTCCACTTCTACTGTGGGTAGTATGTGGGGCTTCTCTGGTAGAAGGGACTCTGCAGGAAAAGTGTGTGAACTTGGATGCTTCTCAGAACTTAGATGTTAACGGTTTCTATCAGGATGGTGATGTGATTATCGGTACTCTCATTAATGTACACAACCTGGCTGCAACCCCTGACCTGAGCTTCACCAGAAAAGCTGAATTAGGGCCGTGCTTAAAGTAAGTTATATGCCATTTCTAATTATCTTTCCTATCACTCCTCACACCTGTGTATTGATGTGTTCTGTAGAACGATATTTTATATACTAAATTTGTTCTGTAAGATTTTCCCCTTAGGTGGATTTTCAACAAAGAAAATCTGATTTTTTATTTTGATTTGTTTTATTTGCACAATGTCTTTTCTTTGGTGTATTTTTTGTACATGCACAAACATATAATATAATTTAAACACAGAATCATGTTTTATATGGTTTTGGGTAACACTTTATTTTAATGCTCCCTTTTAACATTCTGTTGGCTATAAGTAACTTTGCAACATGTCAACTAACTCTAGGACTAACTCTTATTAGAGTATTAGTAGACTGTCTGCTTAATATCTGCTAACTCTTTATTGTGATGGTACCCCAACAGACATTCTACTGACTATTAGAAACTTTGCAACTACATGTTAACTTATTCTAACCTTAACCCAGTCTACTATTACTCTACTAACACTCTAATGACAGTTAGTTGACATGTAAGTGCAACTGTACTTCTAGTCAACAGAAAGTGTTAAAGGGACCATCAAAATGAAACCTGTTTTTGTTAGTTATTAGTTTTATTTGATTATCTGTTATTATTAATATTATTTCTAAACAGCAGCATGTTTTAGGTTAAAGGGATTTTTGAATGTGATACATGGAATATTTATTCCATATTCTGTATACAGTATACAGAATGCTTGCACAGAAAGTGTATTCAATTATTTACACACATGTATTTTATCAAGTGAATATCATTTTACAATATCTTGATCTTGCAATCACTTTTTTATAAAAAAAAAGTTTTGTTTTCATAACCTTTTTAATCATAAAAAATGCTAATGAGGTGAAATATAGGTGAACATAGCAATAGGGTTAGTATATTGAATGATAATTCTGTAGACTAAATCTACTAACTTTTAGTGCTGACATTGATAAGTTTGATTCTTGCTCACCAATGAAAAAAAAACATATTATTTTATTTTTATGAAAAATGTTACACATATTCAATATTGTATAGCTATGCTTTGTGGCACCCAAGAGAAAAAATGTATAATACTGGAAATTGTTTATCTGTGGTTAGTTTTCAGGAACGTTCTGTTCACTGGCTTCAGGCGGTTGTGTTTGCAGTTGAAGAAATTAACCAGAGCCCCACTCTGTTGCCGGGGGTCCGACTGGGTTATCACATAATGGATAGCTGTGCCCGATACCCCAACGGTCTGATGGCAGCTATCTCAATGATCAGTGGAGGAAATGAAACTTGTGGTACCATTAGACCAGCCAAGCTCCTCATTGGAGATTCTTCTTCTACTCAGACCATTCTTCTATCCAGGACCCTGAGTCCCCTGCAAATCGCAGTGGTGAGGTTATATCATGCACCGAATAAGAAAGTCAAATTGTGATTGAATGTTTGTCCATTTGTAAATATGCAATATGACATTTAAATGCAAGCTCTATGCAAATATTGTTTTAAATGTGCTTCCAGATCAGTTACCTGGCTAGCTGCCAATGTCTCAGTGACAGACAAAAATACCCTAATTTCTTCCGCACTGTCCCCAGTGATGCCTTTCAGGCACGCACCATGGCACAGATGGCCAAACGCTTTGGTTGGACCTGGGTTGGAGCTGTGGTTGGCGATAATGACTATGGACGCGGGGCTGTGCAAATATTTGAAGAGGAAATCAAGGGCTCGGGGATCTGCTTAGCCTTTTTTCACACACTCTACAGGGAGCAATTAACAAAGGATGTGGCCCGTGCTGCCACAACAGTCCAAGCCTCTTCTGCCCGTGTGATCTTGGTGTTTGCTTGGTATGCAGATGTTGAGGTTTTTCTCTTGGAATTGATCCGAAGGAATGTGACAGACAGACTGTTCCTGGCAAGTGAGATCTGGAGCACCAGTGATCTCTTGGCCAATCCCAAGCTCTACACCATCTCTAAGGGAACACTAGGTGTGGCATTAAGAAGCGTGCCTATACCTGGTTTTGATGCACATCTCCGGCAGCTACATCCTGCCCGTTACCCTGATGATGAATTCTTGAGGATCTTGTGGGAAAATACATTTGGCTGTAGCCCTACGGATAGCTCTTCTATGTTAATTAAGAAAGCCTTGCCTCCATGCAGTGGCAGAGAGAGTCTGGAAGGGGTTCACAGTCAATTTACTGATACTTCTCATCTGACAGTGGCATATAATGTTTACTTGGCAGTATATGCTGCTGCTCATGCACTTCATTCTTTGCTGGCGTGCACCCCGCAAAAAAACTCTGATCCTAAAATAAAACCAAAGTGCTCTTCTCCAGACAACATCACTCCAGCACAGGTATGCATCTCATGTGGAATTTTAAATGTTTATTTATACAGTGGTCCAAAAAAGGACACATTTCAAAATGTATGAATGTCATTGGATTTAGATAACAAAATATTAATCCAGCTACCCAACTCATTCATTTTTTAAAGAAAGCACTTTTCAAACAAGACATTTCACAATAAGAAGTGTTTAATTTGTTGTGTAGGATGTTTTACACATTCAAATATTTACTTTATTTTATTTTAATCAATTGAAAATTATACTCTTTCAATGAAATTTTATTTACATAATTTATGATCTCCTACTGTTTGAGCTTATTCAGATTTGATTTAAAATAGCATATGTCTAAGGTTAATAGGGTTGTTAATAAATGACCTGTAACTCAGAAAAATTGCATGCATATATTCATTCTAAAACTTAATCAAATGAACACAATTTGAATATGTCTGATTTATATTTCAAAGTAAGCTAACTTTTCAAGTAAGGCATCTTTAAACCTTTTTTAAACAATGTATATAATGTAAATATTAAGTATTTAATAATTTTAAGAATCTGCAATGAAATGTTTCATTTTAAGTATGGGTTAAATGTCACATCAACTTTGTGGTTGTTCCAAACATTTAAATTGTCTCTCTTTTCCTGACTTGTTCAGCTTTTACAGCACGTTAGACAAGTTAATTTCACCACTCTGTTAGGAGAGGAGTTTTATTTCCAGGATGGCAGCATTCCACCTGTCTATGACCTAGTGAACTGGCAGAGAGCTCCTGATGGTTCACTCCACTATGTTTCCATTGGGCGAGTAGAGGGAAACCAGCTCATTATTAATGAGTCAGCCATTACATGGCCTGGAGACTCTGGGAAGGTGAGAGGGGCTTCTAATATATATATATATATATATATATATATATATATATGTTTTTTTTTATTATTATTATTTAGTGCTGGGCAAGTTAACGCGTTATTATCGCGTTAACGCATTTATTAATTAATGCCGACAATGTTTTTTATCGCGCGTTAACGCAGTTTTTTTTTATTATTATTATTTTGAAAGTCCGTTGCTCACTGGCTCTGAATACACATAGGCCTACAGTCAAACCATGATCACAGGAGGGTGGGATGTTGGTCAGCCAGCAAATAACCCACCCAAACAAACAGTGGAGGGGCTGTGGCAGGTTCTCTCAGGTGAACAGAAAGGGAGACAGCGCTCCGCGAGTGAATGACAGGCGCTCTATGGATAGTAACCATGGCAACGGCTTCTGTGCGCTATGCAGCTGTAGCCTTTTTAACTTAAATTAAAATTATACATAACTTTACCTGATAGGGCTGCGTTTAGTTTAGCGGGGATGCTCTGCCATGTGAATTCCCTCCTGTTGATGTCCTGATAACTATTTAGATTCTGGAAACTCACAAACAGCGAGCCGAGGATCAGTCTCTCTTCCAATGATTTGTGCTGCGCGTCGTGCTGGAAGTAGCTATCAGAGGATGGGTAGCTGCTACATGGTGGCCATAAAGGGATGGACATGGTCAGAAACAATGCTCAGGTAGGCCGTGGCTCAACTTCGGCAACGCGCGGGCGCGTGCGTGAGGCGAGCATGACCGCAACAGTTTCACAGGAACGCACCCGCTTGTCGCTGCACCTGTGCTCGACCACTTCACCTCACTCTAGGCTGATTTATACTTCTGCGTCGGACCTACGCCGGAGCCTCTACGCTATAGACTACGCGTTGGTTTTCATTTATATATCTGCGTCGTTGTCCGCGTTGACGCGCAATTACACATGCAGAGGGAGAGTGTGAAACCCGGGGAGCGGTTCTAGCAATCACAGCGCTTGCGGTGCGCGTAGAATTGACGTTACATTTTTGGAGAGATGCACGTCAGGGTACGCGCGCTACACAGCTACACAGAGTTCGATGCAGAAGTATAAATTGGGCTTTACCTCTGTTTAATCTAATCTTACGTGGGAAACCATGGCATGCCATGACCAAACCTAAGCTGCTATCAGAGAAGTAACGTTGGTCGACTTATATCTGTAGTAGTGATCATGACCCTTTGACTACATAGACTGTTTCTGCTGCTCCCTGATACAAGATACCTGTTCAGAAAAAAAGAAAAAAAAGAAAACTGGACTCGTTTTAACTAGCTAGATAAAAGGTAATGCCCTGGCAGTGGCAAATAGCTTTGATTAAATATTTGATTTGATTACATTAATGTTTAAGTTGAGATTTACAAGAAATATTTTATTGATACTGTGTAAAGGGAATACTGCTGGTATAAAAGCACCTTATTTGTTTAAAGTTTTTGCAAACCACATGTTATTGCACTTTTGTAGCAGTACATTTAAATCAAAAGTGCGCAATACACTAGTTTAGAATTCATTATTCAATTTTGCGCGTAACAATGCGATTAATCGCGATTGATCGCAAGAAAATCATGCGATTAATCGCGATAAAAATTTTTAATCGTTGCCCAGCACTATTATTATTATTATTTTAATAAGCCTAGTGTTTGTATGTTTACAAACTATGGGTCTTGCAAAATGCCAGACATACAATGTATGTAAGTTGTGTTAATAATCATTGTCTATTTCCCTTAAAGAGTTAGTTCACCCAAAAATGAAAATTCTGTCAGTAATTACTCACCCTCATGTTGTTCCAACCCCGTAAGACTTTCGTTCATCTTCGGAACACAAATTAAGATATTTTTGATTAAATCTGAGAGCTGGATCACTCCTCCATAGGCTTCTTAAGGGATCGAAACTGACCGGCCCAAAAGTTATGAAAGACATTGTTAAAATAGTCCGAGTGACTACAGTGGCTCAATCTTAAGTTTATCAAGCGACGAGAATACTTTTTGTGCGCAAAAAACAAACAAAAGTAACGTCTTTATTCAACTATTCATTTCCTTCTCTGTACGGCCGTGATATTTCACGTAGTGAAACTACGGAAAGCTTCTAGGTTGTACGTCACGCATCACACACATGACCCGCGTCGGCCAATAGTGAGCCTACGTGTGATGTGCAACCTAGAAGCTTTGCGCAATATCACTACGTGAAATATCACGGCCCACGGAGAAGGAAATGAATAGTTAAATAAAGTTGTTATTTTTGTTTGTTTTTTTGCGCACAAAAAGTATTCTCGTCGCTTGATAAACTTAAGATTGAGCCACTGTAGTCACTTGGACTATTTTAACGATGTCTTTCATAACTTTTGGGCCGGTCAGTTTCGATCCCTTAAGAAGCCTATAGAGGAGTGATCCAGCTCTCAGATTTAATCAAAAATATCTTAATTTGTGTTCCGAAGATGAACGAAAGTCTTACGGGGTTGGAACAACATGAGGGTGAGTAATTACTGACAGAATTTTCATTTTTGGGTGAACTAACCCTTTAAATGCCTTTCTTATGTTATGTTACCAGATGCCTGTATCCAAGTGCACTTCTGAGTGTCCCCCTGGGACACGTAAAGCTATTAAGAAGGGTCTTCCAGTGTGCTGTTTTGACTGCCTGCCTTGTACAGAGGGGGAAATCAGCAATAGTACAGGTCATTAATGTTCTCTAACACTATATTTTATACTAATTTATTAAGTCACTAAACACCATAGAGCTTTAATGTTCCTCTTTTGATTTTTTCCCCCTAGGCTCAATAAAATGTTATCGCTGTCCCCAAGAGTTCTGGTCAAATAGTTTCAGAAATGAATGTGTGCCCCGTGAGACTGAGTTTCTCTCTGTTAGAGAAACAATGGGCATTACGCTGATGGGTGTTGCTGTTTCGGGTGCTGTCATTACAGCTACAGTGGCTGTTATTTTCCTGTACCATAGAAACACTCCAATAGTTAAAGCTAACAACTCAGAGCTCAGCTTCCTGCTCCTGCTGTCTCTCAAACTCTGCTTCTTGTGTTCGCTAGTATTTGTAGGCCAGCCATCACTCTGGTCATGTAGGATTCAACAGGCTGTGTTTGGGATCAGTTTTGTCATGTGCATCTCCTGTATTCTGGTCAAGACTATTGTGGTTCTAGCTGCATTCCACTCCACTAGACCTGGATCCTCAGCTCTTATCAAATGGTTTGGACCGGGCCAGCAGAGAAGAAGCGTTCTGGTCTTTACCTGCATTCAGGTGGTTATCTGTGCCATTTGGCTCTCTGTCAGTCCGCCTTCACCTCGCCGTAACTTTGGAGTCCAGGGTTCAAAGGTCATCCTTGAGTGCACAGTTGGGTCAGTTGTGGGATTTGCCTGTGTACTGGGCTACATTAGCTTTCTGGCTGCTGTCTGCATCCTGTTGGCCTTCTTTGCCCGCAAACTTCCAGATAATTTTAATGAGGCGAAATTCATTACGTTCAGCATGTTGATCTTTTGTGCTGTGTGGATTACTTTTGTGCCAGCATATGTGAGCTCACCAGGGAAGTACAGCGTAGCTGTGGAAATTTTTGCCATCTTGGCCTCTAGTTTCGGACTCTTGTTTTGTATCTTTGTCCCAAAATGTTACATTATTTTACTGAAGCCAGAAAACAACACTAAAAGTTTTCTTATGGGAAAAGCATAATTATATATTTGAAAAACTCTTTCTGTTTTGTGATTCTGTGTTTCCCTATAATAAAGTTGTTCTGAGTCATAGCCATGTTTGCTTCTGTCATTCATTCAGTGCTTCTCAAATCTGTCGAGGAGATTTTGTTTCACAAGTAAATTTTTAAAACGCACAAAAGTGATCATATATGTGTGACGGGATTAGGTGATTAGGTGACAGCAATATTGGCCTATCAGCAAACGGTACTTTCCATTTAAAGTCTGATTGGTTGTCACCTGGGATGCGTCACGTCCGTTTTCCCCGTTTGTTTGCTCGTGTCCATGGTGGCTGTAGGTAAGCGTGCTATGCTGTAATAGTTGATGGTTTCTGGGGATTGTTGTGGTGTGTATAACGTTGAATCGTCTCTGTTAATCATAGTGCAGCTTTATGTGTTGGTGCTGTTGCCCATTCGCGCTGTCTGGTGGATGTGCTTATTGATCGCCTTGCAGGTATGTTTATTGTTAAGCGCTCGTTATATAGTGCTGGTGTGGCTGTGTGGGTTTAACACTCTTTTTGCGCACTAAATAGGCGTGATTCCCTGTATCCCATTGTGATATCGATGGGGCATGACTGTGACCAATCCGTGGCTATAAAGTGTGCTATCTGACGTGATATCCTGATGGTAAGTGTTTAAACGCAACCATGACTGGGACTGTGATAGTACGATGATTGGTAACACCTTTTTTATGTCATTTTAGGATTCTCCCTCTCGTTCTCTGCCGAGATTTGTAGTTGCTGCTCTCACGCTGTTAAAGCATTGTGGTTGATACAGCCGCGCCGACGCGATCATCACTATAACAAATGGGACTGATCGTTCTCTGCCGAGATTTGTAGTTGCTGCTCTCACGCTGTTAAAGCGCTGTGGTTGATACAGCCGCGCCGATGCGATCATCACTAACAAGGGGACTGCTCGTTTGATTTTCTTACTGTGTCGTTTTAGTGCCCTGCTTCATATTTTCTTGTTTTGTTCCTTTGATTGAACTTCTTTTCCTTCCCTTTGCTTTAATTAAAACAACTAACGAAGTGGTTATCTGGATGCATGTGATTTTGAGACCATTAATGTCATCTCATTTGTGTGTGTGAACATCTAACGTTACTGAGTTGAAATTGCTTTGTAATAATCTCCAGACTAGCTCTTTGATCTTTTTAGGTTATTGGTTTTCTTTTTCTTATTTTTTGTTTTATTGGTAATGTCTTTATTGCTATTTCTATGTTCATTTGTATAGTTTCTTTGTTTTTATTTTCTACTGCAGGAGCTGGGGTCCCACGGCCGGAGTGCTCTTCTTTTTTTGTGGTGGTGTTTCTTCTTTATCGTGTGCAGTGTACACTTGAGTGCGATAGTGCAATTAGACCGCACGGGTGTGTGTGCGTGTGAACGTGTGCCCCGTAAAACCGACAGTGATTCCTCTTCGTTGGGAGCCCCAGCCCTGCTGTTATAATTTAGGTATTTTGCTTTGCAGATATACATTGTTATATTGGTGTGTGTTTGTTTCTTTAATCTGAAGTGGGGTTGTTAGTGTTTGATGTGGGTCTTAGTGTCCAACATTTTTAATCATTCTTGTATTAATAAATATTTGTATTTTTGTATTGTACTCACATCTCTTGTCTAACTTTATGAGGGAACCGAACCTGTGTGCTTTACTCAATGTTTAGTATTTTTCCCTGGGGTTAACTCCTAGGGTGGCGTAGTCGGAGTTCTATAGTAATAAATCAACTTGAGCTTGTGTCTCAACCGCACCCACTCGCCACATTCTGGCGCAGTCGGCAGGATCCCTCTTGTATAGTACAGAGACGTGGGTTTTTGTTTTTTTTTCTTTTTCTTTCTTTGTGTTTTTGTAGGAACCAAACGAGCAGACCGTGGCAGTCCATTTTTGTGGTTGATCGGCACAAGTCAATCTTGCGTTATATTTGCGGTAAGTGCTTGGGCAGTTGCAAAAATGGAGGATGAATTGCGTGAGTTAAGAGATTTAGTAGCTCAACTTAAAGCTGATAATGAAAGGCTGCGGCAAGAGCCAGTGTCCGTTGCACAGCCGGGTCCATCTAATGTTGCTATTCCTGTGGCTGCAGATCCCCCACGTATTGGTGCTGATGCATCGGCCCCAGAGCGGTTTGTTTTTGTTCCCCGGGATCGTAAGTGCCCAAAGTTTAGTGGCCGGTCGGGCATTGGCATCAATGAGTGGGTGGAGGAGGCCCAGGCTTGTATGCGGCTTCGCCATCTGTCTACAGCGGATCAGGCATTTTTTTTGTTTGATCATCTGGAGGGAGAAGCGAGGGAGGAGATTCGCTATCGGTCTAGGGATGAGAGGGAGGATCCGGATCAAATTATTCAGGTATTGCGTGATTTGTATGGTTGCACAACGTCTTATGTAGCGCTCCAGGAGTCGTTCTTTTCCAGAAGACAGCAGGAGGGGGAGACATTGGTGGAATTCTCCTTGGCCCTGATGAGTCTTCTGGAAAAAGTTAAAAGTCAGTCGCCTCATGGTATGCCTAATAGTGAAATTTTGCTAAGAGACCAGTTCGTTGAATATGTTAATGATTGCGCTCTTCGACGTGAACTTAAGCAACTAGTGCGTCGTCAACCCACTGCTACCTTGTTCGATATTCGCAGCGAAGCTCTTCGTTGGGAAAGAGAAGGTATGCCTGGTGGGGTGCGCGGTCGAAGTCAGTCTGTCCCATCCGCTTATGGCATTCAATATGGGGTGCAGGGACATCAGCATCGTAATAGCAGTGGTTCAGCGGTGTCAGAAATAAGTGAACTACGGGATATGCTTAGAAAGCAACAGCAACAATTGAACCAGTTAACTCAAGGTATGGCTCAGCTGCAAAATCCCCCGTTACGGTCGCGACCATTTAAGGCTAATTTAATTTGTAGAAGGTGTCAGCAACCTGGTCATTTTGCCAGGGATTGCGAGGGGGAGCGGATATTGGTTCCGCCATCAGCCCGTGTGAATTCTGCTTTAATGAGAGGTGGACAGTCATCGTCTATGCAGCCGTCGGAAAACTAGTTCCCACCGAGTCTCAGGGCCGCAACTTGGTTGGGAAAAAGATAGGCTCCGAAAATGTATCTGGTTCCGATTTTATGTCACGCTTTATGTCTACTTGCCCACAGCTCATAGTATTGATGGGTGGGGTTAAGGTACCTTGCCTGGTGGACACCGGATCCATGGTGTCCACCCTTACTGAAAGTTGGTTTGTGGCTAATTTTGGGTTATGGGGTCAGGAACGGCTTAGGTCGTGTCATTGGTTACAGCTTCGAGCCGCCAACGGCCTTTCAATTCCTTATATTGGTTATCTGGAATTGGATGTGGAGCTTTGTGGCCGAGTGGTTTTGGGTTGCGGTGTGCTGGTGGTCCGAGATCCTCCTGGTGGTGTGTGTGCAGCTGTTCCTGGGGTGTTGGGTATGAACATCCTGAGCCGCTGCTACCAGGAGCTCTTTGGCCAGCATGGCACAGCGCTTTTCAAACTACCCGTGGTGTCACGGGCCCCTAATTCTGTTCTTCAGGCTTTACAATATTGCCATCAGGTTGACGTTCAGTCGGTTTCGGATTGTGGGGGGCGAGTTAAGGTGCGGGGACGTCGGGCGTGTCGCATCTCGGGTGGCACCATGAAATTTGTTGCGGCAACCTGTTCGATGACATATTCGAGCGTTACAGTACTGTTCGAACCACCAGCTTCTGGTTTACCTGCAGGTTTGCTGGCGTCTCCTTCTCTTTTAAGGGTGGATGGTGGTACGGTCTATGTGCCCGTAGTTAATGTTGGTACAATAGATGTAGTGCTGTACGCTAGCACTGTTATTGGTACGGTGAATAAGGTGGATGTGATAAGTTTGCCCCCAGAGGTTACTGAAGTTAAGCCTGTTACAGCCAAAGTGAGTACACAGGTGGTGCAGGTTTCCCCCACTGTACAGGAACAGATAGCTCAGTTCGACTTATCAGTGCTGGCAGAAGAAGAACAGGGTAAGGTCAGGGCACTACTGGAGAAGTATGTGCCTGTGTTCTCTATGAACGATGGGGATCTGGGTTGCACTAATTTGATATCCCATGAGATCCCCTTGTTGGATGACATACCTGTTAGGCAGCGTTTCCGGCGTATTCCTCCATCCGAGTACGAGGTGGTGAAGGCACATATCAATCAATTGTTGGAAACTCAGGTAATTAGAGAGAGCTGTAGTCCTTATGCTTCGCCCATCGTTCTGGTCAAAAAGAAGGATGGTAGTCTGCGCATGTGTGTGGACTACCGTCGCTTAAATTCAAAGACTAGGAAGGATGCGTTCCCTCTACCACGTATTGAGGAGACTTTGGACTCGCTGGCTGGGGCCCGTTGGTTTTCTACCATGGACCTGGCCAGCGGGTACAACCAGGTACCTGTAGCTGAGAGGGACAAATCTAAAACTGCTTTTTGCACTCCTTTTGGCCTATTTGAGTGGAATAGGATGCCATTTGGGTTGTGCAATGCCCCAAGCACCTTCCAGCGATTGATGGAGCGGTTGTTTGGTGACCATCAGTGCCAGTCCCTTCTTTTATATCTTGATGATATTGTTGTCTTTTCCTCCTCGGTGGATCAACATCTTGCTCGGATGGAGGTTGTCCTGAGCCGCTTGCAGGCGGAAGGATTGAAGGCCAAACTATCCAAGTGTGCCTTTTTCAAAAAAGAAGTACATTATTTGGGGCATGTCATCTCTTCCGAAGGAGTATCTACTGATCCCGGGAAGGTAGAGGTAGTTGCTCAATGGGCTTGTCCCACCAGTGTTGCAGAGTTACGCTCATTTTTGGGATTTGCTAGCTATTATCGACGGTTTGTGGAGGGGTTCGCCAAGTTGGCTGCCCCCCTCCACAGGCTGGTGGCTCAGCTGGCAAGCCCGAAGCACCCGAAGCGGGGTGTTCAGGAGTTTGCTGAATCTTGGTCTGCGGAATGTCAGTGTGGCTTTGAGGGGTTGAAAGGTAAGTTAACCACAGCCCCAGTGCTCGCCTATGCCGACT